CATACTACAAACCTAGAAATTAATGTATAATGAAATTGAATCACCCCAAAGAAGGTTACCATAAATAAATAAGGAAAATAGAGTGACTTTTTATATAATGCTATGTAATGTATTGAAATTTTGTCTTCATTATCCAAGTAGGTGCAGAAAAGTACATGTAGAACATTAAACCCTATTTCACCTCTGTTTTGAAATGACCAGTATTTCACCTCTGTTTTGAAATGACCAGTGTTGGTCATATGGCTTTGAGTATTATTTAATAATAGAATCAGGTGATTAGTGCAGGAATAACCTGTTGATAATTATTTGATTGTTTTGAACTTGTTTGGTGATTTTATTATTACTTTGCTTCAAACTGTAACCATAACAACAAACAGTCATGCTCTAAATGTCTTCCAGCAAAATTGAGAGTTAAGGAACTGAAACTTACAATAGAATTATAGATACTTTAATCCAATTAAACACAATTATCAGATTCTATCTGTAAAGAACTAGACCATTTACTATTGATTGAGTGAACAGTTTTCAAATTCTAGACAGTAACCAAATGAGATAAATTCATGAAGAACTACAATGCAAAGTGAATACACCATTTTTACCATTTTGGGCTTTGGGAATCTGGAGTTGTCAATATTTAAAAGTTGTAGGTGACAAAAAGTAATCTTGAATCTATTTCTCTTTGTCTGCGTCCGCCTCTTTGTCAACATGTAGAGACGAACTTGGTTTTTTGTCCCATCCAGCTCCACTGAAAAGGGGAAATGACATTGAATAATCCAGAGGAACTTTCTCAACAAGTTTGTGTATATATTTCATCACAATTTAATACTTGATGTTAAACACCAGTTCATTTCACTTACTACTGGAGGATTGTATGGATTATATTTAGGAAGTCTGAATACCTGACTTCAAGTTCTTAAACTAAAAGTAAAATCTTTGAATGACTCATTTTGGCCTAAATAAAAGAGTTCTATCTCCTTTAAGGATTATGTGGGTGTGAACTCTATTAATAGTGTTTGTTTTCATAGATAGACCAAGACTGGCAATACAGTATCCTAGTTGTTGAACCTGTGGTTGAATAAGGACTATATAGAATAAAAAGGTAGAAAAACATAAACATATGCCATGGTTGACCAAGTAAGTAGAAATGGATGATCTAATTCTTGGAGGAAAACAGTATAATGTGACATCAATGACTCTAGTTCAGCTTGATTGCAGACAGTGTTTAGCATAACAGATCCTCCTGATGTTTTTTTACAAATAAGAAAGGGTTATAAATATAGTAATACAAATTTTTTATACGCCCACATTTTGTTTGTGGACACCCTACAGGTCACAATTCTTATCCAATTTTGACAAAACTTGAAATATAGGTTTATAACCCAAAAACCTTGGTTCCTTTTGATATATTCACGCATATGGGATAGTAAATAGCTGAATTTTGGCCCTTGATTGTACAAAAAATCGCGTTTTTAGCTTGTGGTCCCTCTAGAGGTCACAATTATTATCCAATTTAAAAAAACATTTGAATAGATCACTGTTCGCACCCAAATGATGGTTGAGTTTGAATTTCGGACCAAAACTGCCGGACAAAATGGCCGCACCTCGTACGCAAATAGTGTAAATATATGGTATATCAAGGTTGTGGACCCTCTACAGGCCAAAATTTTGATGAAACTTGAAATACATGTTAATAACCCAAAGATCTTGGTTCCTTTCGATATTCGCGCATATTGGATCGTAACTTCCTGAATTATGACCCTTGATTGTACGAAAAATCATATTTTTAGATTCTGGTCCCTCCAGAGGTCACAATTTTTATCCGATTTAAAAAAACGTTTGAATATATCACTGTTGCACATAATGATTGAGTTCGAATTTCATGAAAATCAAACCGAAACTGCCAGACAAAATATGGCCGCTCCTTGCACGCAAATTGTGTACATGTATGTAATACGAAGGTTGTGGACCCTATAAGGTCACATTATTTGTCCGATTTTGATGAAACTTGAAATATATCTTTATATCCCAAAGATCTTAATTCCTTTCGATATTCGCGCATTTCAGACCATAACTTTATATCTAATCTATGCTATTAGAAATTTTTATCTTTATACTCATTATTCAAGGACAGGTTCAAAAAGGAGGTTACTGTTGAATCGACTATCAAAATATTGCTAATCTTGATCTGTCTTTGAAAACAGACACTACAAAGAAACTATGCCCCGAGATAAGCTTTAAAGGAATTATTGTATACCTATTTAACAGTTTTCTGGGTGTGTTGATTAGAGTTTCTATGGTAGTCATAGATAAGCCCCTTCACTTGTGTGTTTTGACCCATTAAAATGGCCAATTGGCTGATCAGCAAGTGGGGTTTTGGGAAATGGCATGTGTATTTTCTTGCTTGCCAATCAAGGTTTAATATTATCTGTAAAATATTTAAATGAACAGTCATTGGCAAATATTGTTTGATAAAAATTGGATGAAAGTGATTAAATTAGAAATGTGCAATTAGTTTTTATTATTATTTAGCAGATGAACAATAGTCATTTCAAAATTTTAAGATCTTTAATTCTCAACATATTGTGCCGAAATTGGAAATTCACGTACTTGCTGATTTATCTTTCCAATCATATTTTTTACTTTTAATGGTTTTGTGAAAGATATGCAGACCAAAGCCCCTGATGACTGTTTTGAAACTTGGTGATATTATTTATTTGAGCCATAACTGACTACTTTCAAATTTATGAAATTTTGTTCTAAACAGAATTTCTTGAAAAACTTTTAAACTTTTTGTTTCAGAGTTATATTTAATTTAAAGCCTATGATCATAATACAGAAAAAAAATGATAGATGATATTTATTAATACTTTGTGGGATTGTTAATACACATCTAAATCTACATGCCATGTTCCTCTGATGTTATTTTTGTTTGATGGAATGAGGTTGAACTGTGGGGAAGCATCCATTAAGATTTTATAAAATCATAGAAGGAAAAATAATGACTGATTTCTTATTGGTAGATAGTGGGGTCCATTTTGTATGATATTAATTTTTAAAGCATAGGATGATAAAATGTATATACAGTAAAATGTTGTTTACGTAGTATGTTACATGTATATTTCTATAGTCTGATGGATATCATTAATTATCATTATATGGTGATAATGATAGATAATCTCCCTTAATAATTGACATATACTGTATAGGTATTGAATTAATGTCTTACTGTCCCTCTACATTTATATTAATGATTATATTGAGTAACATAAGTAATCTGTTAAGAGAAAGCCTGTTGTTGTAGTCAAGGTGCATTATTTTAGAGACCAGGCAGTTGTATTGTCCAGGAGACTAGTAGGAAACAAAGAGTTAGGGAAGTATTAGGTTTGGCACTGGTTAGACCGTGGGTGCGACAAGGGCAGGTTTGTGTTAAGATACTTCTCAGGTACCAAATTTTTGATGTAAATAATTGTTGTTTGTAAATAGTATGTAAGTAAATAACTAGAATATATATGTATATACTATAGTCAAGTATATTATTGTTATTTATAACATCTATGAACTATATATGATAAGTATGAAAATATGTTGACTTGGACATATTGATTTTATATGTACCTAACAACATGTCAGACACTCTTTCAACTTGTACCTGGGAGTATTTTTTCCTTGTACCAGACATCATAAAAATATCAATAAAAAAACTGAAAAAGAAAAAAATGTGCCGAACATACATGTAACGACAGGCACCAGAGAGATTGTGCTTGACAAAGCTTGCCACTATAGAGTAAGCCAGTAAAATAGCCCTGGATTTAAAAAAAAAAACCATGGGATTCATTGGATAATCAAGATCCTAGTTAACATAATATTAAAGAGTACAAAATGTACAATGTACAAGATACTTTGTCCTTACAGAAATTCGGGGGTTGGATGGCTGAATGGTAAGCTTGCGCGCGCTGTATCATAAAGTCTGTCATTGAGTCGACTGGCGTGGTTTCGAATCCCTGGTTGTACGTGACAAGGAGTAGGGTCGCCTGTCCAACCTTGTGGGTTTTCTTCGGGTCCTCCAGTTTCCTCCCACTGCTAAAGACCCCTATGCGCAAGCGAATTATTGAAATAAAATTAAACCATATGTTAGTCCCGAAATGACCTAGTTTGTGTCGAGTGGACGTTAAACCCCATTTCTCTCTCTCTCTCCTTACAGAAATTCAAAATAATAATAGGCCATAACTCCACTTTCAGGATACATTGCATGTCATATGCCGTCTTCATTAGTGCTATTGGTGCTGAAATATAAATAATATAAAGTTTAAATCTGGGTTGGTGTAAAATGCTTTCCAGCATGTCATTGCACTCCACCCCTTTATATCTATAGGCCAATGAAATGCTAGGGTTAGGGCTAGGGATTTAATCATCCAGTATATATTAAATCATCTGTTGGGCAGGAAGAGGCTTTACAATAACAAGGTTAATGTTATTTTACTTTTATTTGATTTGGTTTTAACATTTTGATGTTGTTGTGTATAAACTCCCTTTCTGCAAAGTTGTTAAAAGTGCAATGTTTATTTTTAGAGTCTTCAGATTAAATGAGCTTATTAAAGTAACGATGCATGATTTGCATTTTTTGGAAAGTATCAAATTTCTCACAGCTTAATCAATGCTAATATGTACCCAGATTAATTATTTAACATTAATTAAACATAAATTATGCAAGAGCTAAACCTGCCTGTTGCATGTCTTTTTTTAGGCCTGAAATGTTATATAAACTATTAATTAGACATTAATTAACTTATCCAAACCATAATTAACTCTCAATGCCATCTTATGTGTCAGATTTTCACTGGATTTGAATCTTGCGATAACATAGAGAGCCTGGATCAATAGAATCTTCAATTTGCCATATCTTTGTAAATACTGAATGGAATTGAACCATTTTTTGAACAGATATTCCTATTTGGAATTTAACTTTCACAATATTGTAGTTTGTAACAGATTCTTATACAGATATGGTAGTTTCATTTACTTACACAGCTTTGGTGATCTTGTGGACTAGGATTAGGTTCTTTCACCAGAATTAACAATCTTTTGGGCTTTCTTCTATAATTTTGCTACTTTGGGGGTTTTATGCTTTTTGTTATGATTATTCACAGTAATCTCTTTGGTTTAGGTAATGAATTTTGTTAGAGTTACACAAAATAAACCTGATAAGACTACTAAGAGTAACATTTATCAGAGCAACTATGGTAAACATAGCATGGTTTATATATAAGAGAATTGCTGATTCATCTTGCCACATGAAGGGAAGGTTTACCGAGGAGCAAGGCACATGTTGTAAGGTTACAGCTCTATTCTAGTACATGTACTTATATACCCATTCTGAATGGTAAATATGTTTTAGTCCATTATGCAATGTAATAGCTTGGCTGAACAATCAATATCAAATAGATTATCACAAGAGAATACATAACAGGACAAGATAAATAGGATACAAGGACGTCTTGTTGGAATGAAGGCTATTAAAAATAGGTTTTTTGCCAGTTTAATAAGAGTGAATATTTTTAAAGACATGCAGAGTTATTTTTTAATCACTTGCAAGATGCTGAATTCCATTTCAATTCCATTCTGTATATTATATACTAATACATGTATATGATGAAAATTTATCAACACGTTGTCAGAAAAAGCCAGCACCAACAGTAAATTTGTTAAAATATTTTGATGGAAACCTTTTATAACCAATTGAATCCAATCCAGGTGATTATTTACTGTTGCCATTTTGATTAAATCAGATATTGTCTGAAAAATGCAAATGACAATTTCAGATTCAGTAGGGAAATAATTCTTGAAGGAATATTATCAATTCCATCTTCATTAAAATGTGTATGCAGAAGTTGTACTGGGATATACAGGATTTCTTAATGGTGTGTGTGTGTGTGTTACGCAGTTCTTTTTGGTGTTGTGGGTGCGGCACAACTTGTTTAGATTACTTAAATTGTAAAAGGGGGATTTCTTATTAAGTCAGTTAAAATCACATGAGCACCTCATTAATTGTGTAAATATGTCTGGTCATTTAAATATTTGTTTTAAAATTTCAGCACTACCAGTTAATTTTTGTATGTCAATCAAATACTATATATTAGAATGTAAAACAAAAAATTACTGTGTAATTTACTAATTTCTGATTTGAATTAATTAGGAGCGTTTTATAATGAAGATCTTTTAGAACATATTTTTAGTGTAATTGCCACAGTCTAAACTCCAACTTAAATAAGGATTTCATCAAGGCATATTATCAGATGAAGACTGAAGCCAAGGCCCCAATTATTTACGGAAAAAATTTGTTTGCGTGGGAAGTAGGATTTTCATCTTATTCTGCTTGTAATATTGGCGCAATCTTTGATAGTTTTATGCTTATGGGAGCTCAAGTAAATAATATTTGTAAATTGTGCTATTTTAATTCTCTGGTCACTTCTCGATTAGATAACTTTAATTTACTTTTAGTTGGTTTACCTTTAAAGCTTATATATAAATTAGTTTAAGATGTTGTACATCTCTATATTCTTTTAAAAAAACAACTTAAAACACATTTATTTAATCAGGCTTTTAACTGACTCTGTATACAATCAGTTAACATGTCCATAATCTTGTTGTTTATGTATGATTTACATTGTCACTTTGTAAAGTGCCCCTGAACATGTTATATGAAATGGCGCACTATAAATATGCTGTAATAATAATAATAATAATAATATATAGATTTCATATATCAAGGCCATTTTATAAGGTTTTGAACTACGGGGGCAAGGTCGGGGGGAATTTTTTAATTTTGACCGTCTAAATTCATTATAATTTTGATTCATATCAATGCAATTCTGTTATTAAAATGGTAATTATCTTGATGAAACTTTAATCTGGCTCGTTGATGCTTGGAAATCACTGCAAAGTTGACTTTTGTTAATTCCATTTATTTACTGTTGGCTTTAACATGGCAGCATCCTGTTATAATTAAAAACTCTATTACCATGGTGTTACAGAACGGTGATTGGCACTCTTCAATCTGTAGCACAGGCAATTAAAGCTAGTCAAATTAATTAGAAGGTTATTTATATTTTTTAACATTTTAAAATTCCATAATGTATAAAATTTCTATCTTTTACAGCTGGAGACTGTATAACACAGTCGGCCATTGACCAGATCAACGAACACAAATAAAATGGCATCACATAGTTGTTCATTTATAAATGGTACACAATTTACAGATGTCGTTATCGTGGGTAAGTAAAACATAATCACAAGCAACTGTTCATATTAAAATTAGCCTTGGCAACTGTTCAAATTAAAATATTAGCACAAGCAATTTAACTGTTCATGTTAAAATTAGCCCTAGCAACTATTCCTATTAAAATTAGCCCTAGCAAATGTTCCTATTAAAATTAGCCCTAGCAACTGTTCATATTACAAGCATTTGCCATGCAAGATACGCCCACATTTTGCAAGAGATGGACAGAAAACAAGCTAAAAAAAAAAAAAAAGATTTTATGCACAATCATGGGACATAATCCAGGAAGTTATGGTCCGATATGAATGAATATCAAAAGGAATTGAATATAAACATATATTTTAAGTTTCATCAAAATCAGATAAAAATTCTGACCTCCAGAGCAGCCATTTTGTCAGACATTTTCGGTCTAATTTTCATGATATTGAACTCAACCTTCATTAGGTTGTAACACTGATTTATTTAGACGCTTTTTAAAATCAGATAAAAATTGTGACCTCAAGAGGGGCCACAAGCTAAAAACGTGATTTTTTTTCGTACAATTAGAGGCCACAATCCAGGAATATTGAAAGGAATCAAAATCTTTGGGTCATAAACACATGTTTTAAGTTTCATCAAAATTGGATCAACCTTGATATTGCATACTTTAACACTATTTTTGTACATAGAGCGGCCATTTTGACTGGCAGTTTTGTCCATCAATTTGAACTTTTTCTTCACTATGGTGAAATGGTGATATATTTGAATGTTTTTTTTAAATTGGATAAAAATTGTGAACTCAAGGAGGACCACAAACTAAAAACGAGATTTTACGTACAATCAAGAGCCATAATTCCGGAACTTGCAGTCCGATATGTGTGAATATCGAAAGGAACCAAGATCTTTGGGTTATAAACATACATTTCAAGTTTCATATAAATTAAATTTTTGTCCACAAGCTAAAAACGTGATTTTTCATACAATCAGGGGCCATAATCCATGAAGTTTCTATCCGATACATGCTAATATCGAAAGGAACTGAGATCTGTTGCAGATAAATCTATATTTCAAGTTTCATCTAAATCAAATAAGAATTGTGACCTGTAGAGTGTCCACAAACAAATTGTGAACGGACAGACAGGGGTGACAACAATATACGTCCACATGAAAATGTAGACATATAAAAATTAATACTAGCAAACTGTTCATATTAAAATTAGTCCTAGCAACTGTTCATATTAAAATTAGCCTCCTATTCAATATATTTTAAAAATTTACATGACAATTGGAGAGTTAAATTGACATGAATTACTCACTGTTTGATGAAAGAAATTGAACTTGTTGAACCAAGCAAATATTAAAGGTCACTATAAAGAAAAAGATTTGACTGACAAAAACATTCACTGTAATGTGTATACACATTAAAGGTTATTCACCCCTTCTGTGCTCCGAGAAATTGACTGAATTTAAATACTTATTTATGATACCTATATTATACAAAGCATTAAATTGTATGTCATTATCAATTATTATTATCAATTATTGTTATCGAGAAAAACACACTAACAATAGCCTATATTCATTAAATGGTTTCAATGACAATAAGTATTTATATACCATTACTCTTTATCTATAGCTCTGTATGTAGAGGAGGCGTGTCTGTATGTAGAGGAGGCGTGTCTGTATGTAGAGGAGGCGTGTTCTGGAAAGTGATCGTAGCCATTTGTTCTAACTACATGGCAATCTGATTAAAATACAGATCTATATTTCGTTTTGTTTTTTATACTTTCGATAGCCTCCAATACATGAAGATCTGACCAGATGTAGTGAGAGGTTGTGTCAGAGGTCATATGAGCGGCTTTTGACTCTATGACATCAGACTTTTGATTTACTAACCAGCGTTGATGTTTCTACTGGGATACCCACAGTTCCGTTCACCGCACCCCAAAAACGTGTTGTAACGGACTGTTTCATTGGCTAATCCCTCACATCAACCATAATGCAGGTTATATGACAACTTTTCCAGATCCCAGTGTAGTAAAGTAAAATAAAGTTTTGAACCATAAAAAAACGAAACAAAATAGGATCTGGGTTTTAATCAGATTGACTCCACGGGCACCCCATCTTGTTATTATTTATTAATGTATATATGTGACCCGTGCTGGCAAATTGAGTCGCAATGAGGAATTTTGAAAACTGAGTTATTATTATTTACACATTCTCCATCTTATTATCTTCAAAATGATGTATGGTTGGTATGAATCAGACAAAAATTGACTGAGCTATATCCGTTTAAAGTTGCCCAATTCTGAAAAGGTAGTTTTGAGAAAAAGCAAGTTGAAGATATCGGAATGTTCTAAAACAAAATCACATAGCAACCACGCAGGGGACTATTAAAATGTGTCTGTCTGTCTTGTCTGTCAGTCTGTCCGTCTGTCCGTCACACTTTTTGGGACACAATAACTCTCTTTCTAATTGAGCTAGAATGTTTAAACTTGGTGTAGGTGTTTATTAGGTCAATGCCTTGATGGAGTTCGAATATGAGCTTTTTCTGCTTAGGGTAAGCAGAGATAAGCAATTTGATTGGTTGTTACTTTGGGACACAATAACTTTAGTTCTAATTAATTGAGGGTGATGAAACTTGGTGTATAGTTTCATTACATCAATACCTTGAATAATTTTGATAATGAGCATTTTCTGCTCAGGGTAAGCAGAGCGATAAGCAATTTGATTGGCAGTGACTTTGGAACACAATAACTCCCCTTCTAATTGAGCTAGAACATTCAAACTTGGTGTAGGTATTCATTAGGCGAATGCCTTGATGGAGTTCGAAGATGGGCATTTTCTGCTTAGGGTAAGCAGAGATAAGCAATTTGATTGGTTGATGCTTTGGGACACGATAACTGAAGTTCTAATGAAGTGAGAGTGATGACACATGGTGTATGGTTTATTACATCAATACCTTGACTAATTTCCACAATAAGCATTTTCTGCTTAGGGTAAGCAGAGCGATAAGCAATTTGATTGGTCGAGACCTTGAAACACAATAACTCTCCTTCTAGTTGAGGTAGAATGTTCAAACTTGGTGTAGGTGTTCATTAGGTAAATGCCTTGGTGGAGTTCGATGATAAACATCTTCTGCTTATGGAAAGCAGAGATACGCAATCTGATTGGTTGATGCTTTGGGGCCAATAACTTTGGTTTTAATTAAGTGAGAGTGATGAAGCTCCGAGTATAGATTCATTATATCATTACCTTGACTAAGTTTGATGATGAGAATTTTCTGCTTAGGCTAAGGATCGATAAGCAATTTGATTAGTCAAGACTTTGGAACAAAAACAACTCTGCTTTTAATTGAGGTAGAATGTTTAAACATCTTATAAGTAGATGTTCATTAGGCGAATGTCTTGATTGAGTTCATTGATTAACATTTCGAGATAAAGATAAACAGAGGTAAGCAATTTCATTGGTCGATGCTTTGGAACATAGAGAGTGATGAAACTTAGTGTATAGTTCATAATCAGTTTGATTGCTTGATACTTTTGAAAAAAAAATAAATGTGCGATTAATTAATATGTGTTATCTATTTATTTTGGGATTTCGGCGGGGGACATTAGCCTCACTGTTGGCTTGTTTCGTTTAACATTTCTCTCGGTGTTATAATTTAGAACAAAAGAGAATAGTCCATACATTAGTAATATAGGTTTTGTATATTATAACTTTTATGAGAATAACTTCTGTTAATCTCACCAGTTCATTAGCACCTTTGTGATATTGCTCAGGAGATTAAGATTGTTGATTGGGTAACCAAGTTTAGTCTTATCAAAGAAGTAGCCACAGCTATAGGTGTGTTATGTTATCTTCATCACAGAGTGAGCACTGTTGTGCAAGCAAGAAAGCAAATCAGAACACACAAATAATGATAATAATATTTTATTCACAACTACATTGTGATGCATTACAATATCAGATCAAATATCTTACAAAATAACATTAATTTTCAAAACATGTGTGATACATATTGATGTAATTGTCAATATTTAATGCTACATATCAACTAGAAAGGCTATATTTATATTCCTCTTTTTTGAAGGCAATCGGTACAGAACTTCCAACAGTTTCCATACATTCTTCAATATTCATTATGTTGAATTGAATCAGTTTACTTATATTCCCTTTTCATTTTCCAGTTTGTGCCCACTATGGTTGAATTTACTGAGTACACTCCTTTCATCCTTCTTCAGTGCACATGAAAGGAGTGTACTCAGTAAATTTAGACTTAGTGCACATAAACTGGAAGTTGAAAAGGGAAGATTAATATGCTCACCAAAAAAGAGAGGGGGGTTGGATGGCTGAATGGTTAGCACGTGCGCGCTGTACCATAAAGTCTGTCATTGAGTCAACTGGTGTGGTTTCGAATCCCCGGTTGTACATGACAAGGAGTAGGGTCGCCTGTCCAACCTCGTGGGTTTTCTCCGGGTCCTCCGGTTTCCTCCCACTGCTAAAGACCCCTATGCGCAAGCGAATTATTAAAAAAATAAAATTAAAGCATATGTTAGTCCCGAAATGACCTAGTTTGTGTCCAGTGGACCATAAACCCCATTTCTCTCTTCCCCCCCCCCCCCAAAAAAAGAGAAGAATTAACATCCACTTGACACAAACTAGGTCATTTCGGGACTAACACATGGTTTAATTTTTTATTTCAATAATTCGCTTGCGTGTAGGGGTCTTTAGCAGTGGGGGGAAACCAGAGGACCCGGAGAAAACCCACGAGGTTGGACAGGCGACCCTACTCCTTGTCACGTACAACCAGGGATTAAAAAAAAACATGGACCCACCCACAATGAAGTAAGGTGACAATAGTTTATTAATAGCTGTAGGTATCTCCTGGCGAATACAAAGTTTTGAGAGGGATGTGAAGCAAATTTTTTATAGATTAATTAGTTTGAATATGTTTTTAGTCCAAAAATATATCATTAAATCACACAGTTTGTAGGCTACACGGGGAAAGTATTTTTAAGAATAGTTTATGAAATAGTTGAAATGAAACTTGCTTTATATATCCATTTGCAGAAGTATAACCTTTCAGTTTTATATGGTTTCAAATAATTGCTTTTGCTGTTAATTAAAAAAATCTGACATTCAAAACTCCACCGAAGTTGTTTGACTCTTAAATTTCCATATCTGCTGCCCATAAAATTTGGCAAATTAGTTTTGTTTTAAATGGAAAATCATAGGCCTATGGAGAACTACCAGATGTAGAAGCTTCAAGTTTAACATAATTGACATTATACATAAATTATATACAGACATTTAATTTCCATAAATTATTTTCATATATTTTCAGGAAATGGACCATCTGCCATTAGTTTATCTTTCTTGTTATCAGGAAACCGTCCATATTATAATGGAATTCCACATTCTAATGAAATTTTGACCAGGAAGTTAGAAGATATAAAAAATGGATTATCAATTGTTGATCAGGTAAATTTAAACTCCATCAATTACAGGATCAGACACGTGTTCCTAACATTCTGGGGCAGGTTAAGTAACTGGCTCTTGATTAATGGAATTTGAAGGAATTTGAAGTCATAATGGAAGCGCCACTTGTCAAACCAAAATCCCCCCCACCTTGTATTGCATACATGATCATTTTAATAAGAACTGACATTTATGTCTGTCCAAATTTACGCTTGTAAGAAATTATACCCAATATGATTAATCCATTCCATTCCAAATAGAGGGATTGGATGGCCGAATGGTTAGCACTGGGGCTGTATCGTAAGGTCTGTCATTGAGTCATCTGGCATGGTTTCGATTCCCCTGTTGTACGTGACAAGGAGTAGGGTCGCCTGTCCAACCTCGTGGGTTTTTTCCGGGTCCTCCAGTTTCCTCCCACTGCTAAAGACCCCTACGTGCAAACAAATTATTGAAATAAAATTGAACCGTATGTTAGTCCCGAAATTACCTAGTTTGTGTTGAGTGGATGTTAAACCCCATTTCTCTCTCTCTCCATTTCAAATAAAGAATTTGGCTTCTTATTTTATTGTAGTGTTAACACATAGTGCCATACCAATAAGTTCACAAATCAATATTATTGAATATTTGATTCTCAATCTGAACAAAACATAATGATTCAGTCCAATTATTGATTACTTTATTCAACTCGTATGTTTTTGCCATGGTGGATAACTATCAACAAAACATCAAGGTCTTCTTTATATAATATTAATAACAAGTCAATACAATAATATACTTTTTAAATTCATGTTTTTTCAGGATTTGGAATATTTATCAGAAGGTTTAGAGGGAAGGACTTCAAATCCTGTAGCATTACTTTTAGATGCTTTGCAACATCCAGATGCAGATCTAGGAGCAGATAACCCATCATTATTAGATTGGAAAAAAGTGGAAAATGTGGCAATACCTCATGTTGTATTGGGTAAAACAAAGCCCGGAGGTTCATGGCAGGTAAATTCAAGTTTTATTTTGAAATTAAGGTCGACCACAAACAAAATTATGTCTACTGTCTTAACCATCGTAAATTTTATTAAACAGATTTCTTCGATTGTGAACTGTAGTTATTATAAACTTATATCTGTGTTCCAAATCAACTCCCGTCAAATGAAACCCATTGCACAATAAAATATTCCAACCAATAAGGAAGTTCTCTCTTGAAAAATTTGACTATTTTCTTGTGATTTCATCACGCGTTGGGCGAAACCAGCAAAGTTATTGCTGGGGTGGTTTATCTTTGACAGACCCACGCGTTGAAATCAAAACAAAACAAAGCTCGATCCATTTCAATCGTTCTGAGTTTGGGCAACGAAAAATATCAAATTAAGGCAATTACATAGACTTGTATTGAAACCATTGCACAGATACTCGTAAAAATTAAGTCATATATAACCCAAAACTTTCCTATCTTCTTTATATTATATACAATTTAACAAGCAACATGAAGTTCGCATCCAGCGTTTCGGAGTGTATTGTCAATTTGATAGCATTCTTTCAATTCAGTAATAATCATTTCAATAAAATCTATAAGCGTGTTGCGGCAGCCCTGACAGTGCCCATTGGGTGCGTTCATAATGCAAAGATGCCTGTAAGACCTCGTAAGAAGCGCAGCATTACTTCCAGATTCAACAGTTTTGACTGTAGTATGATACGGGAAACTATCCAGTCTGTATTTCTTGCAATATTTATGTAGTTTGTCTTGTGCACAGGTTTATCTTGTCGGGTTTCTTTTTCATGTAGTGATGTCCTCCTGCACTTACTATTAAAGGAGCTAAACCTTTCCATAACATTTAAAATTAAACACGATTTATAATTCACAATTGTGTCCACTTTATTCATGTTGTTATCTTAACATGAAAATATGCGATTCTACTATCCAACAGCTAAGACACAATGGAAATTTTATAATCACTACACGAGGTGTGTATTTTAAAATCTGTTTCAGTTACTTCCATATCTATTTGAAATATATGTAATTTTAGATAATTCTTTTTTTGAAAGTTTGAATTGAAAGGGCGCATTATAGAAATAAGATATAAACTCGAATGATTCAACACTTTTTATGGTTTCATTTTATGAACACGACTGTGTAAGCTATTATAATTTCTCAAACTCACCTGCAAAGAGTATTAAAAGAAATTGGGTTTAAGTTATATAATGCTCATGGTAAAAGATTTGTCATTGTTTTTGTGCCGCATGTGAAAATTCTCCCATCCAAGACTCTAATAAAAATATTTCAAATGGGGAAAGCTATAAAATTTGCAGAGATTTTACGAGATTGTAAAAATCGGTAACAAAGTAAAGAAATATGGACAGTTATGTGTGTGAAGGCTCAAACTCAATACCGAGCCGAGACTTATACATATTTTTTTAAAACTTGAATTGTCGTAAAAGACCGAAAACAGTTTAGATGTAGTATGCTGTCATCCCTTTATACGAAATCATGTCTCCCGAAAAGTGACATAGTCGGCTTCCATATTGGTATTGCTCGAATTTAAATGTGGGCGTAAAAAAAGAAAAATTCATGCACCTGTTTCGTAACGTGTTTTAAAAACTCTGCATTGGATTTTATTACATTAAACTTAAGACATTAATTTTATTTCTTGCACAGTCTGAGCAGAACAATAGGACGTTAATCTCCATTTTATTTCATTTCATAACATCTGAGACTAATTTTAGCCTGTATTAAAACTTTTTATCTTTTTGTCAAGTTCTCAATTTGAAGCCTTTTGTTTAACTCTGCTTTATTAATTTACAAAAAGTAAATTAAATGATGTATGAGTATAAGAAAGGATACATGTATAGTAGAAAGTAAAATATAAAATGAAACTACATGCAGCAATAAAAGTGTTTGTCTGGTGCAGGCTGACTGCTCACACCTGTTGATCATAAATTATGGAAATGTTCAAAGATTGGCCTCATTAATATCAGAGAATGAACTTATGCATAAAAATAAAACTATCATATTTAGATATATACTCTTCAAAAAAAAGTAGGGGATATTCAGAAATAATACAAAACTGTGGAAATGCACCGCTGTTTTTATTAGAGGTAACCAGTGTATGTTAATAACAGGCCAATTGCCTACACATGAACATAAACAGTTCATATGGGCAGCTTATCTGACGGCCCCATTTCACTCACAAAGAGATACACTGTCTTGTGGACCCTCTAGAAGTCACAATTTGGATTCAATTTTAAAAACCGTCTAAATACATCACCGTTACACCTCAATGAAGTTTGACCTCAAATTTCATAAAAATCTGACCGAAACTGCTGGACAAAATTGCCGCTTCTTGTACGCAATTAAGCTAAAAGTATGTAATAGTAAGGTTGTGGACACTCTAGAAGTCACAATTTTTATACGCCCACATTGAAATGTGGTTGTTTATTGTCTTCACCACCGTCCGCCTGTTGGTCGGTCCGGCATCCACAATTGCTTGTGGACGCTGTAGAGCCAGCCTAAAGTTAATATCCGATTGACTTTAAATTTATACACAGTGTTTAAGGTCATGAGATGAAGAATCCTATTGATTTTCAATTAATTCTAATAATTATTGCCAGAGTTATGGTCCTTGATCTCTTTGAATAGTCTTTGTAGAAGCACTGGAGGCTACAGTTAATATTCGATTGACTTTAAATTTATACACAGTGTTTAAACTTCATTAGGTGAATGTCTTGACTGAGTTAAATGATTAACATTTCCTCCTAAAGCTAAGCAGAGCTAATCAATTTCATTGGTCGATGCTTTGGGACAAGATAATCTTGATTCTATCTGATAGAGAGTGATGAAACTTAGTGTATAGTTTGATTGCTCGATACTGTTGAAAAAAAAAATAAATGTGCGATTAATTAATGTGTGTCATCTATTTATTTTGGGATTTCGGCGGGGGACATCAGCCTCACTGTTGGCTTGTTGAACCTTGTAAACACTCTAACGACAAAAGTTATCATCCGTTTTGTATGGAATTTGTTTGCATCATTTAAATAAGTGAAACAAAGAATGCTATGGAATTTCAGCAATTTCCGTTAATTACGCCTAGAGTTATGGCCCTTGTTTCAACAAATGTTATCATCCAATCTGTATGAAATGTATACAGATCAGTTAAATTACTGACACGAAGACTCTTATTGAATTTCAGCAATTTCCAATAATTATTCTTGAGTTAACGCCCTTGTTTAACTTTGTCTAACCTTGTGAACATTCAAATGATGCAGGTTTTTATCTGGACTGTCTGAAATTTATATGCATCGTTTAAATTAGTGAAACAAAAAATCCTATTGAACTTCAGCAATTTCAAATAATTACTTGTAGAGTTATAGCCCTTGTTTCACCTTGTTGATCCTTGTGAACACTCGAATGATGAAAACTATCATCCAATCTGTGTGGAATAAGCCTATAGAATTTCAGCAATTTTTGTCAATTACAACTAAATTTATGGCCCTTGTGAACTTGTGAACGTTCGAATGACAAAAGTTATAAACCGATCTATATGAAATTTATATGCATTATTTGAATTATAACACAACACAGTTCTAATTTTTGTAATTTGTATGCTTGATAACGATCAGTGAATTCTCGTCGAAACGTCGTGTGTATATAATATAGTGATTGTTATTCATAGAACTGTGTTGTGTTATATTATGTTCAATCGCTAATTGCCATTCAAAGATTATTATTTGAATTAGTAAAACAAAAAAGCCTGTCGAATTTCAATAAGTTCTGTAAATTACTTCCAGAGTTAAGGCCCTTGTTTCTGTTTGTAGAACCTTGTTTTGTGAACCCTCAAATGACGAAAATTACAATCTGATCTGTATGAAATTATCTTGTAAATAAATGCCCCCAATTATTTACAAAAAAATAAATATGTGACAACCCTTGTCAACCGCTCCCATGATTTAGCTGCTATGGGCATATGTTTCATTGTCTGGCAACCTATCTTGACTATTAAAGTTTGTGAAATCTCTTGAACTCATTCTCTTGTAAAGCTTAGCACACAGTTCAAAATAGATGACTTTCTTTGTAATGTGGGATTTGTCAACAAATTGCTGCTGGTGGGTATAAAGGGGACCTTTTAGACATCACTGTCTGTTTCAAACTGGCGGCAGTTGTTTAGATAGTTATAATAAGGATTATTATTAAGATTCAGAATTTCCCTTCAATTTTATCAATTTCATACACAGTTATTGCTCTTTATCCAAATATACTCCATGTTTGGCATATATTTTTTGCCTGACAATATTATGTTTGTATTTATGGGACTATTGTAGATATTTTTGTTTTATTTTAAATAGAGAATGGATGGAAGTATGCAGACACTCAGTTTAAATTCTTGGATGGAATTACCAACGGTCCCATTTAGAGAATGGTTAGCGAAGAAAAAAATGTAATTATATAATTTGGTTGACTTAATGAACTTTTTATCCCCTTAAACAAATGTATTTTATATTCAACGATATATCATAAATAAAATACTGTGTCGTTCAATTCACATTATTATTAAAAGATCAAGCACTAATCTACTTAGACTAGATCTTTTGAAATGGCATGCATTGAGCTCAAGCAAGTATAATAACAAATGTGTAGAGCATTTGTGAGATCTGAGTACTTGCATTTGTGGTATACTGATTTCTAATCCGTATGAGGGAAACAGTAGTAGTGCAGTGAATTCAAGTTGAAACGCTGCTGGATAAAAAATAAAGTAGCAATTATCCTGTAAAAAGTCTACGCTTTATAGATTTTATTTGAAACCTCTTTTTCATTTCAGGTCTACAATGGCAGCTAATACTAGTAATCGTGCAACAATAGCTGATGTTAAGGATTATTATTTAGATTTTGTTCAGCAAAAGGGGTTGGTTCGAAATTTCTATGACTATCACACTGTGACATCTGTTCAGAAGGTTTTTCAGTTAAAGAGTTGTATTGACGGGGAAAGTGGAGAAGTTGAACCATGCTGTCAGAATGTTAAACAAAATCACAGTTACTTGTGGGAAGTTCGTGGTTATCATTTGGTTTCTGGCAACGATGATATGGAAAATGGCAATATTATTCGTGAAGAGTTCTGCTTTGTGGCTCCATGTGTTGTGCTGGCTAACGGTACATATGACATTCCAAATAAACTTGGTGTAGAAGGGGAAAATTTACCCAATGTTATTCATTCGCTCTCGGCCTTCGAAAAAGTCATTAAAAATAACAATCTTTCATCTACTTCAGATCCTATTTTAGTTGTTGGAGCTGGTTTGAGTGCGGCAGATGCCATCTTAATGGCAACCCAAAAAGGAATTCCTGTGGTTCATTCCTTCCGATGTAGTGCAAATGATCCATCACTCATATTTCGTAAATTACCAGCAGTCATGTACCCTGAATATCACAGAATTCATTCGTTTATGAAAGGCAAACAAAAATGTGAACTTTATAAACCGTACGCTAAACATAAGGTGGTGGAAATAATGGAAGAAAATACAGTTCTTATCCAGGCTTTGGGATCAGATACCATTACATCTGTCAATGTTTCCTACACAGTCATCATGATCGGATCAAGATCTGATTTGTCCTTCTTGCCAAATGAGGGCAGAAATTTAGGTGTTGTACCAAAATGGCCAATTGACAGTAAACATAATCCGTTTGATATTAATGTGTATAGCTATCAGTCAAACTACGAACCAGGACTGTATGCTATGGGACCTTTAGTTGGTGATAATTTTGTGAGGTTTGGTATTGGTGGGGCTCTAGGAATAGTCAACCATATGTTGGCACGTCAGAAAGAATGATTTATATATAGTTGATCTCAGGTTATTTTTTTATAGAATATTATTTGTTACCTACAGTTATATATATACTATGTCAATTTATGATTTAGTGGTTTTATTTGACACTGTGTGCTCATAGTAATAGCTCTTTTAATTTTTCCTATAGAGTAATTGTATGTACCGGTATTTGTATATAATAAGCCAGTAATCTCCCTTTAGGGCTTGTCTTTTTGGATGTTTGGAGATATTAAGAGTGTGTGCCTTATACTAACCAGACTTTTATAATGTATTTTGTTATATGCTTACAAATTGCATACAGTATAAAAGAGTTTATTTATACATGTAAGGTTTCAAGTATAGTGTATTCCTGTATTAAATGGGTTTAGACAGGACTTATTAATTATCAGGATTATATCTATATTACTAGTCAAGTTAATTAATGATATATATAGTAAGAAATATTACAAAAGGATCATGTGCACATATAATTGAGTTTTGTTGTCCTCGCCTTTCGAATAAAGCAGGGGACTATTAAAATGGGTGTGTCCATTTGTCTGTCTGTCCGTTGCACTGTTTGGTACACCAGAACTCTCCTTTTAATTGAGCTATAATGATCACTCTTGGTATAGGTGTTTGTTAGGTGAATGCCTTGATGGAGTTCAAAGATGAGCATTTTCTGCTTAGGGTAAGCAGAGATAAGCAATTTGATTGGTTGATGCTTTGGGACACGATAACTTTAGTTCGAAGTAAGTGACAGTGATGAAAGCTGGTGTATAGTTTCATTACATCTGACATCAATACCTTGACTAAATTCGATAATGAGCATTTTCTGCTGTGGGTAAACAGAGCAATAAGCCATTTGATTGATCGAAACTTTAGATTTTATAATACAATAACTCTCCTTCTAATTAGGTGGAATGTTCAAACTTGGTGTGGGTGTTCATTAGGTGAATGCCTTGATGAAGTGAGAAGATGAGCATTTTCTATTTAGGGACACGATAACATTAGTTCTAATTAAGTGAGAGTGATAAAACTTGGTGTATAGTTTCGTCACATCAATACCTTGACTAAGTTTGATAATGAGCATTTTCTGCTCAGGGTAAGCAGAGCGATAAGCAATTTGATTGATTGAGACATTGAAGATCGACATCTTTGATTCTAATTGAGTGATGGTGAAACTTTGTGTATAGTTTCATTACATCAATACCTTACCTAACAAAGTTTGATGTTGAGTGTTTTCTGCTTAGGCAAAGTAGAATGTTCGAACTTGGTATAGGTGTCTTATTAGGTGCATGCCTTGACAGAGTTTGATCATGCACATTTTCTACTTAGGGTAAGCAGAGATAAGCAATTTGATTGGTTGAGACCATGGAACACGATAAATTTGGTTCTAATTGGGTGAGAGCGATGAAACTCCAAGTATAGATTGATTATATCAATACCTTGACTAAGTCCGATGATGAGAATTTTCTGCTTGGGCTAAATAGCAATAAGCAATTTGATTGGTCAAGATTTTTGAACTCTGCTTCTAATTGAGGTAGAATGTTTAAACTTGTAGATATTCATTAGGTGAATGTCTGGACTGAGTTCAATGATTAACATTTTCCACTAAAGCTATAAGCAGAGCTAGGCAATTTCATTGGGACAAGATAACTTTGATTGTAACTGATGGAAAGAGATGAAACTTAGTGTATAGTTCAACTACCAGGTACTTCAATACCTTGACCGAGTTTGAACGTGAACATTTTATGCTTAGACTAATTATAAATAATCAGTTTGATTGCTTAATACTTTTGAAAAAGATAAATGTGCAATTAATTAATGTGTCATCTATTTATTTTAGGATTTCGGCGGGGGACATCAGCCTCACTGTTGGCTTGTTATACATGTAATGACGTAAGGTCCTGGTATATACCAGTAGTGTACCTTGTGCACACAATAATATGCATTTTAATATACATGTGCATTATAGAAATTAATATTCAAGACAATACCATTTTTTGACTCCAAATATTGTGCAACCGTTCCTGGTATATATACTTGTAAACTAGTCCCTTGTAAATTAGTTTATTGTCTAAATGCATATTATATAGTTTTTTGCACTATAGCATTGTAATTCTTTTGTATACATATGTAAAGAGTTAAATAGCTGTACATTTCTCCAGAAAATATTCCAAGTTAATCAAATACAACATTTTAGAAATGGGTTATTTATAGAGAAACAAACCCGGTGCTTCAGAAATATCTCAGTTGAAATTAATATTTAATGTTATAACAAACAAATAATCACATCCAAGGACAAGAAAAGTATCAGTGCATTTAAAGAATGGACCGACTTCTGAGATGCATAATTTTTCAGACTATCATAAATAAGATAACTTTTCATTTGACGTCTGTTTTGGCATGTCCTGTTTGGAAAAAACTGAACAAATGCTACTCTATACATTGACATTACATGTATATATTTGTTATGTCTTGCATAATTTGGATGTGAAGCAAGATTTGTATAATTGTTTATAATTATTTAAATATACAGTAGTTGTGTTAACCCTAATAACATTAATAAAATTTATTAAAAGGGAATAATTTATGCCTGCAAATATGATGTTACTTAAGCATAACCTATTTCTGGGTGTCTTATAGTACATTAGCTTGTGTTTTATATCCATTTCTTCATTTACCTGATCTTACATTACCCTTGGTTACACAGATATAGGTTTATCATGTATAACATGTGATATACATGTACTGTGATAGCTACTACATGTAAATATATAATCAAGTTATATTGATTCTCTTAGATAACTTTCGCAGTTTCCACCAGATGACAATAAGTTTTATATAAATCTTTGTTATTCCTGCTTATATCACATATGATATAAGATATTTATATAGGGGAAGGATGATAACAAGTTTTTGTTAGCCATTTATTAATTAAAGACAATATCTCTTTAAACCCATATAAGCTGCTGTACATGTACTTGAATAAACTGATTACAGAGGGAGTGTGCTAAGAATAAGTAGAATAGATTTATGTATGCAATTCTTTAAATATGGACTAATGTTTTTGACCTTTTTGTGATTAACATAATTAATATATTTATATACATGTAAAACTACTTGTTAAACTGATCTAATTATGTCTCGAAACTTAAAAATTAGGACTATAACCCGAAAGTAAAACCCTGGACTAACTAAAGCATATATTAATCATGTCATAATTGTTTAATATTAATATTAAGTTATGTATTAATAATTGTTAACATTATATTATGTTAAGTCTATGATTTTTATTTTTATATAATGCATTTTGTATTCTGGTTTAATAATAATTATTGTACATTTATTTAAACATTTTTTGCTTTTCATATATTCAGAGACACTATAAGATAATGTGTATCCTCTATTTTAGTCTTTCTTTACTTGCTCATTCTTCAAGAATTCCTTCTATTTAATTTTACTTATTTATACTAATTATTACAGTCATTCTATTTAAGAACTTTGCATTTACTGAGATGAAATCATGTAGAAATGCAGTGGAACCTCAAAATAGCATAGTTTTCTGTAAGGTACCAGTATAGTTCAGTGTTAGACAGGATTCAGACAGTTACCTAACTTTATTATAATAAGTCCTTATGTTTGATATAGAAGGGTGGCTATAACACCAGTTTTTATATCCCCATATATTCATGTTGACGTATATTGCTGTCGCCCCTGTTCGTTCGGACGTTTATCCACAATTTGTTTGTAGACACTCTATATATATAGGTAACAATTTTTATCCGATTTTGCCGAAACTTGAAATATAGGTTTATATCCCAAAGATCTCGGTTCCTTTCCAAATTGGCATGTATCGGACCTTAACTTCATGGATTATAGCCCCTAATTGTACGAAAAATCACATTCTTAGCTTGTGGACACTTTAGAGGTAACATTGCAAGTTTCATCGAAATTGGATAAAAATTGTATGTTTATAACCCAAAGATTTCAGTTCCTTTTGATATTTGCGCATATCGGACTGTAACTTCCTGGATTGTGGTCCCTGATTGTACGAAAAATCAAAATTGGCAATAAGAAGATTGTGGATCCTACTCTATTTTTGGCTGATTTGGATGGAACATAAAATATATGTTTGTATCCCAAAGATCTCAGTTCAGGCATTTCAGACCATAACTTCCTGGATTATGGCCCCTGATTGTACGAAAAATAGCTTCTCTTTTTGTCCTTGTTCGCTGTCCATCTCTTGCAAAATCTGGGTGTATCTTGCATGGCAACCGCTTTTTTAGTAAAGCTCTAGTGTACTAGTGTTAAGTTTTTGTGTTGCTGTGGCAATAGATATGTAAACTAGAGAATACCATTAACTTTGCATAATGTATTCCATCTTTAATAGTTACAGAAAGAGAGTGAGTGCATTTTATTATAAATGCTGCAAATTGTTCACAGATAAACATTAATTTTATATCACATTTTGCTATTGGATTTAGACTTTACCTTATCTATGTTACTGTTAATGTCCTTGTATTGACATTTATTTTACACAAAGGAAGACATTCTATACATAAATCAGTATGGATACATCAGTGTCTCTAACTAAAGGGGGGGGGGGGGGGGTGGATGGCCGAATTGTTAGCATGTGCGCGCTGTATCATACGGTCTGTCATTGAGTCAACTGGCAGGGTTTCGATTCCCCGGTTGTACGTGACAAGGAGTAGGGTCGCCTGTCCAACCTTGTGGGTTTTCTCCGGGTCCTCCGGTTTCCTCCCACTGCTAAAGACCCCTTACGCGCAAGCAAATTATTGAAATAAAAATTAAACCATATGTTGGTCCCGAAATGACCTAGTTTGTGTTGAGTGGACGTTAAACCCCATTTCTCTCTCTCTAACTAAAGTCTGGATGTCAGTGGATAAATAAAGAGTCATTTAAATTTTATTCCTTCAAAATTATTAAAAAGTTGTCTTTTTAAAGATATATTTCCTCAACAGTCTTTATTGATTTGAAAACAGATCCAAACTACCTGGGAAAATATATTTCTTATCAAGTGAAACATTTTGACAATCTACAAATTTTTAGATAGACACCAGTTTGTAGTTTACTAATTCAAGAGGATGAATGGCCAAATATCAGTCATCCACTGATTAAGATATTAGTGACAGTGACTCCCTGTTTGGTAATCAGCATGTTTTAGTTATTGCAGACTTTTTATGCAAGTGGAAATTTACTTCATGATGTCGTTATACTTTCTCATAAAAATAAGACTAAGGGGTCGAATAGATGACCTAAATATGCTAGAGGGAACATATCTTTAATTTTGTTGTATTTTTAAATAATTTTATAAAATGGTTACAATGTGCTACTTATAAATATTTTTATTCTATAGAATTTCTATCCAACTCTGTGATTTACTTACAAATCTAATTGATATTTACAAAGCATTTAATAAATATCTTTCCACAACTTACAAGTTTGATTTATTTATCTGGATCCAGTAAAATACAGTACTTCCATTACTGTCGTGTCAGAGGTGCTAAAATGATTTTAAAGTTGTGCGGTAAAACTGAAATGCCTAATGCCAAGCAGGTAAAAATATTAAGAAATGATATACCGGGGATTCTAAAATATAGTCGGGAAGGGAAAGTTGCGGATTATGAATATTGATAGGGATCGATGACCCAAATGCATGAAGCCATGAAAAAAGTCCATTTAAATGATTTTCAAGTTGTGGAGAAAACTGGAATGTCTAATGCCAATCAGGTAAACCTTTTAAGAAACATGTGCCGTGGATTCTAAAATATAGCCGCATTAAGCGGCTGTTTAAACCTAAGCTTCTAACGCGTTCACAGGGTTTTCGGCAAAAATGGAGGGGACCGGGAACGATTGCGGGTTATGAATATCGACAGGGATCGATGACCCCAATTCCTGAAGCCCTATATGAAAAAGGTCCATTAATAACTATACAATCATTCTCACATTCTGAGGTATTTTTTTAGACAGAACTCCGGAACGTAGATTCGAAAACCGCTGAATACCTCAATTCTTCCTACCAAATTTGAAAACGTGGGTTAAAAACTACAGCCTCGATAGTGTTTACAAGATTTTCGCCAAAGGTAGCTCCGAAATGGAAAGTCACACTACACTGAATACAAATGAAATGAAATGAGGGTTTAACGTTCTATTGTTCTGCTCCGACTGGGCTAAAGAAGACGGGACATTGAATATCGTTAGAGTTTGTCCTCTCATGGCCATAATACTTTACACCAAATGTGAAAACTAAAATTTGTCAAAAATAGTATTTTATATATCGCGTTCACAAGGTTTTCGACAAAGGGGAGATAACACTGAAAAGGAGAGTCGCAGAACGCTGAATATCGATAGGCTTCGTCCTCTTATGACCCCAATGCTTAAAACCAGGTTTGAAAAAAAATCAGTCTTAAATATAATTTAAAGATTTATTAAATGTAGACTTAATCATGTTTTGTTGAAAACTGACCGAGTTGTCCATAACAGACTAAATACTTGTATTATTAATTCATGTACAGTTATTGTCCTTGATCATTTTGTAGTATCTTGTAAATGCAGTAACGACAAAATGGTCATCCGATATTGAAATTTATGTGAATTGTACAGATTAGTGCAATAGGCCTACAGCCAATTCAATTTCAACAATTTCTATTAATTACAGCTTGATTTATGGCCCTTGTTCATGTCGTAACATCGTCTGAATGATCCAGTGACATAAGTTTACGTCGGATCTGATTGCCATTTAAATGATTTGTTTAATTTAGTAAAACAAATTAACTTAAATTAATTCTTGGGTTATGGCGCTTGTTCACTTCATAAAATCTTGTGGACACTCTTGAAATAAAAGTCATGGACTGAAATTTATGTACGTTATTTAAATAGGTGTAACCAAGAATACTATTGATTTTCAAGGATTGGCTTGCAATACTTCAAGAGTTATGACACTTATACCCTGCAACAAAATTATATGTATTGTCTAAATTCGTTCAAAAAGTACTCATTTTGCAAAACTTTGCGAACTCCCCAAAGACGAATTCATCTTTGTTTCAATTATTGCGACGATTACTATTTCAAACCATTACCCCTGATTACGTCACTGAATTTTGTCAACGTGCCATTGATATTATAAGCCATAACAATTTTTCTTTGTATGTAAGATAAAGAAAGTACAGAGAATTTGCCCGGTCTACTAACAACTCATTAAAAGTTTCTGGTTCAGATATATTTGAAGACAGTCACCAATAAATGTGGAATGGTTTATTTCAATGACCTTGCAGATCGGACGAAAAACACCAGTTTTGTAGCAAATAAAGTGTGGCATAATCTACCCCAGATGAAAAATACATTAACAACCGCCATTATGTCTATTCGTTGTTCTATTTATATTAAAAATACGTACCAGTATTTAAAGAGATCTGATGGTCGTCGTGACTTGCTCAAATTTTATAATTAAGATAATTTAGATAGGGCACGCATATCTATAAGATGTACACATTTCGAATAAGTCGACAAATCCCATAATAAAAATTTATTACAATGTGCAAGGGTGCATTCGTTTTCATTTTCGAAAATAAATTGAAATAAAAAGATGCTTTAAATTTTTGCCAGTGTTGAGAAATAGCCGATTTTGTGCTCCGATGTCAACGCATTAAGCCAAAAATAAAACTAAAGTTAACACGCAGACTCTTCTTAACCTTTCAAAGCAAAACTGTAATAATCGAAGACCTAACTCATCACCGGCAACTAAAATTGACATTTCAGATCAACCCAATTGTATTCTTATTTTGGTCTAAATCAAAGAGGTTATAGTTCCTTTACGTTAGTCTTTCTGAATATGATATAATTATTGATGAAAGTGATGTCGCCTCTTTAAACAACAGCGAAACACACGTCAGCAAATTTTCCGTCAACTCCAGGTAAGTCACCTATATTTCCTTATTAAATTCTTGATTTTAAACCTAATTTTCAGGTTAAAGTCTTGGAGTTTTGGGTTATCAATATATACCTGCTCACCTGCCGGTATATCTGTTTCTATTAATTCTAATGACTGTATCCTTCTATTTAAGTCTTGGTACACATATTTTATACATGTAGTTGAAATAGAATTAGGTTTTCATATATGCTGGCACAATGTTAAACAGTGTTAAATAGATCTGACAGTAAGAAGATGATCGAATTATCATTTATATTTGTTGCTCATTTAGACAGCTTTCCTTGTTGTTTTTTTTTTCAAATAAAATCGCGTTGTTAATTAGGAAACCAAAATAACTTGTTCAATTCGTAAGTGACTATTCACATTCGCGTCACCAACAAACAAGGAGCCCAACAGGGGCATGTAACAAATAAAACTTTATAGGGAATGGAGAAACTTACAACAAACGATTACCTAAAAGGGGTCAGACAGGGGCACACATAGGAGCATCCACCACCCCACGATATGTCTTGAGGTATAAATTATTTTTTGGTGTTGTCGGATCGAAAAAGGCAGTTTCAGTTAATTTGATTAATAAATATAGGTAAAAACTGCAAGTCTTCTTAATCATTATAAGATTTATTAATAAATGGACCTCTTCAATTCATTCGCTGTGCTTTGATCAAATTGTGATTGTATAAAGAAACTTCATCTCTTTAACAAGTATACCTATTGACCCTTTTTTATGCTCAGTGCTCTTTATTCAAAGATTATACTTACCATTTTGTATTCATTTTCTGTTTTAGGAAAAACACCCCTACAAAATGTCGGAAGAAAAGTTCTATCATTTTGGATATGCCAGTAACATGTTGAAGGAGAGGTTGTTGGTCGATAGACCAAATGCATACAAAAAATTTGTTTGTGTTGCTAAACTTCAGGTCAGTGAACACTAACGATTTTTTGTCTGCGACTTTTTAAATAATGAATAACCAATAATCCTCCACAAAATTCAACGATAGAAAATCAGCATAGCTGGCTGTCATTTGGTAACGAGATGATTAACGAAAGAACATTTGTCGCAGACAATAAATCTTTAGTGTACATTTACCAATTCATTACACTTCATATCGATATTTAAACTGGACGATTGTTTAATGAATGGTAAAAAAATAAAAATACCGGAACCACTTTATCGTGGTCTGTTGCTTACCATCAATATAATAACCATTTTATACCAACCCCTGATCTGAGTTATTAACAGAAACCAGTCACATGCAAAACTATTCCAACAATTAGTATTTATCTGTAAATCGCGATAAAATCAACCCATCATTTTCTACAACAATGCCTCATTTCTTTACCATATAACCAACACAGATGTTAACATAAATCTCTTTTGCACGATATAAAAACTCACTCCCAGTATCATCTGCTTACTTAATCTCTTCTCTGTAAAACCAACCCACAATCTTTACTGCAAATATCATTCTCATTTCAATAACCAACACACGATATTTTACACCCAGTTCTCTTCCTCTTGTTTTAAATCTAACCTACCATCTCAACGTCCCTTCACTTTTAAACACACCATCACGTTTCTTTTCATAACGAAAAACACTATTATCTTCTACAAACAGTTCTCCTCTCAAGGATAAATCCAATTCACCATCTTTTAATTCTCTTCCCGTTACTATAAAACCAACGTCCCATCTTCCCGTTACTATAAAACCAACGTCCCATCTCACCAACCCATCTTCTGGCACAAGTTTTTTTTCCTTATCATAAAGGCTATGATGGATACCGCTGCGCTATGGAGGCATAATATAGATTGGTGATATTTCAAAACATACCATATACAGCGTTAGTAGATATCCGCTAATCACACTTTACATCCATTGCATACAGTAGGCTATAGAGAGAGAGAGAGAGAGAGAGAGAAATGGGGTTTAACGTCCACTCGACACAAACTAGGTCATTTCGGGACTAACATATGGTTCAATTTTATTTTCATAATTCGCTTGCGCGTAGGGGTCTTTAGCAGTGGGAGGAAACCGGAACAGTAGGCTATACATGGACGTATAAAAACCACTACCCCTGATCGAAAGCGACTTCTTGTCATCTTTGGCTTTTATTCTTTATACAATTAAAATGATCTCAATATATTTGACAGGGCTACAAATTGACATTTGATCGTATCTGGCCTTTACCAGGCGATTGGCATGGACCGTGTGCTACTATTAGACCAGATCCAGGTGTTACATGGGGAGTGGTATGGGAATTAGAGAAGGGAGATAAAGATGCTCTGAAAAAGTGAGTGAAATCTTGAACATAATTTTTATAACTCCTGTAAATAGATAAATGTGTACTCTTAAAGCTACAATTTCATATTTTTAAGTTATATTTTAAAAATTTATTAAAATAAAGCCTTAAAATAGATAGTATCCATAAACCGTCCTACCTTGTTAAAGAGTAATCCTATAATTCACTATTGCCAGCTGAGAAATTGGCAAAAATATCATTTTCAACTTCATTTTCCAACGTTTGAAGGTAGCTAATGCATGGAAACAATAGGAAAACAAGGGAGGTAATTGTGTTATTATTTCCTGTGTCAATGATTTTTAAGGGTGGGAAATAATGCCCATGGTCGCATAATAGTGAGTTGATAACCTATTGAGCAAAAGACATAGAAATAATTATGTTTTGACTTTCTTAAAAAATATGAAATTCTCGCTTTAAATCAAAGATAAAATACTTTTTAAATAAGTTTATTACTGGTTATAACGATATTGAGACGGTTGTCCTTTTTTTCAGCCAGGAGTGTAAACTGAATGATATAGATGTCATAGTGGAAGACCAGTTTGGTAATAAATACACTTGTCTAGTATTTGAGATGGGTGGAAGTGATCACCCGGGTGAACGACCTTCGCCTCAGTATAAAGATATAATTATCAGAGGTGCCAGGCAAAGTGGAATTCCTGAAGATTATATCACAGTTTTGGAATCTTTTGAAGATAATGGTTATGATGGACCCCATGCCTTGTATTCACAGGTCCTAGAAAGTTTGGGTCACCGTCGACAGTAAATAATAATACATGGTGCCAACCCACGTTCTACCTGTAACAAATAAAAACTACTTTTTTAAGATTTAAACCTGCTTGTGTTATTTTTGGCAACAATATAGCATGCTAGACCGTTCCTCTCTCATTCTTCGCAAGAATATTTCTTTGATGTTTGATACAGACTGGGCAGATAGGATACCGCCCTTTGTTCCGAAATAATCATCCAGAATATTACAGAATACACCGCAAAATATAAGTTCTTATATTAAGCAAGAGAGAAATATCATAATTACTTGCATACAAAGTACATTACCATTGCCATTAGATTACATTGTACAAACTAAGATAATGAGCGCCCTAGCGATGTGAGCAAATGCCCTCCTGCCGTTAAAAGCACGTGTCAATTGCCCTGTCGCATATCTTTCTAAGCCTTCGAGTATGAGATGGTTCAACGAGTCCCTCTTTTAGATGGAACCTGGACGCCTGGCCCCACATGGCTAGTAGTAGCCATTGTCGCACAGCGATCCAATTCAAATTCCGGGCACTTGCGCATGGACCAAGCAGTCGTTGGCTTAATTTGCCGCCTTAGTAAGAACTAGTATATTGACAATGCACAACACTAGTACTCCATTTTTCTGGATTCACCAAATCGAATCTTGTTTCTAGTGACTTGGGCTGTATTATGACCTGATTGGGTTTCATGTTAACCGGTCAGAAAACGACAAATTTTATCGTTTCTGCACCAGAATTTCAAAAAAATTCTCAGGGGTGAACCCCATGATGAGAAAACATTCTGTCCTACCCCGTTGCCCCCCTGCTGCATGGACGTTTCGACGAACCTGATTTAAGATGTTTGGAGAATTATGGATGCCTGAATGAACATTTACTCATATCTGCGCCCATAACCAACACGCCAAAGATTTGCATTGGCTGAGTTGTAGTTCATCGCTAAACCACCATGACGGCCGATGTGGGCCTATAAAATTGACATCAATGGGTTGCCGTAGAAAAACGGAGCAACTAATTGACCTACAAATTAATTCTTTAACTCTAGTCTGTTTATTATACGATTGAGAAGCCTTTGTCACACTTTATATTTCGTCAATCGGTTCCCGAAAACTATCAATGAGGACCTTTTTATATTTTGCCTTTGGGAGCAACTTGCTCAAAGAAAGGTTGCATATTGAAAACCCTTCAGCAATCTTTAAAGGCATTGCCAAACTACAGGTAGGTGGTCCAAATAATATTAACCAACCAACTTTATTTTTATCAGAACAATATATATTATCAAGATACAGACAGAAGAGTAAATCAATGTGTATACACTATGATAAACCCTTGTAGTTATCTTGCGTGACTAAACATACGATTCATAATTCATTTACATGCCTGAATAAAAACACTAACGGCCCGTAAACAATATGGAACGCCAGTTTGGAAATATAATAATGTCAATTTCTACACCGCAAGATATCTCTATTTACCTCCATTGCTGTATTTGGAGTATATATTTGGGTTATTCAAAGAAACTCAGAACATGGTGGATTTAACCAAAACTTAATTTATAAGAATCTTAGAATATCTCAGCCATCACATATTTATAGTACAGTACAGACCTACTATTCGGGTATCGATCTTGAAACTGGCCACCTGAAAGGTATGTTTAACATAGATCACAATGTACATTTGTTTAAGGTGTACCGGATTATATTGCAAGCAATCCTCTCTTGTTTATTATGCGTCAATTGACTACTACACCTAATACAATGCCCTGGTGATTTCCAGATAAAAGTAACAATTTGTTCCTGGTCTTAATAAATGATCAAATTCAGTGATAGTGCATGACGGTGTTGAATAATTGATGTATGCATAATAAAACATCTTATGGGAATAACGAGGTACTATCTACTCGATTGGTCAGTCTGCAGAAACTTTATCCTAGATTCAAATACAATCTAATATGGAAACCACTGGGAGGGAGGGATTCTTTTCATGATTACTGAAATGCAACTATATATTCAGGTTTTATTGTATTATATATTTTAGGGTTATAAATTCCTCTTTAGTTGGGGCAATCAAGATAGTTCACCTGAAGAGGCTTGCTGGAAAGGGTGTGCTGCTAACATTACTGAAGATCCGTCAAGCCATGTTTGGGGATCTTTATGGGAACTGAAAGATGAGGATCGACCAAGTTTAGATAGGTATACTAAAAATCGCCAGGATTTTCAAATTGTTAAATAGATTAACCATTGTAATTCTTTAACAAAATAATATGTTTTTGTCCCATAGAATTTATGCTTCAAAAAACTAAATGTAGAATGAATAGTTTTCTGAAGGCTGTCTAAAAATGTTCAATTAGAGTTATTGAAAAGGAACAGGCCTATACTATCAAACAGAAGCCATCAGTGAGGCTAATTGTAATGTCCCCCACCAAAATCCATAAATAAATAAATGGCACATATTGATTAATTGCACATTTATCCTTTTCAAAAGTATTGAGTAATTAAACTGATTATCTATACTTAGTCTAAGCATAAATTGTTCACGATCAAAGTACCTGGTAGTGAAACTATACACATAAGTTTCATCACTCTCCATCAGTTAGAAGCAAAGTTATCTTAAACCAAAGCATCGGCCAAAGAAATTACTTAGCTCTGCTTAGCTTTAGGAAGAAATGTTAATCATTGAACTCAGTCAAGACATTCACCTAATGAACATCGACATCAAGTTTAAACATTCTACCTTAATTAAAAGCAGAGTTGTTATGTTTTAAAGTTTTAGTTTAAGCAGAAAATGCTCGTCTTCGAACTCCATCAAGGCATTCACCTAATGAACGCCTACATCAAGTTTGAACAGTCTATCTCAATTAGAAGGAGAATTATTGTGTTCCAAAGTCTCGGCCAATCAAATTGCTTATCGCTCTGCTTACCCTGAGCAGAAAAAGCTCATTATCAAAATTATTCAAGGTATTGATGTAATGAAACTATACACCAAGTTTCATCACTCTCACTTAATTAGAACTTAAGTTATCGTGTCCTAAAGCATCAACCAATCAAATTGCTTATCAAGGCATTCACCTAATACACACCTAAACCAAGTTTGAAGATTCTAGCTCTATTAGAAGGAAAGTTATTGTGTCCCAAAAAGTGTGATGGACAGACAGACAGACAGATGGACAGACCCATTTTAATAGTCCCCTGCTTCTCTTTGAAAGGCAGGGTGACAAAAAGGTCTCATTATTGCTGAGGAGAAAAAGTCTTGCGTTCGCTCCTAACTATCTTTGAGGACACTTCATGAACGCTTCTGCCAGGTATCTTAGATTCCTGTATAATATCAATCTTCTATATTTAAATCATAGAAACACTCGATTTGTATACCAATTTTAATACAAATATTTTCTGATAACACCTCAACTTATTTTACAGACAAGAATGGGGCTATAATCCGATAACAGTAACTGTTTGTGATGATAAGGGAGCAACATATACCTGTTTGACATACCAGATGAAGGGTGAACCAACTGGCGAGACTCTACCGTCCCCACAATATAAAGATATCGTTATAAGAGGTGCTAAACAATCCATGTTACCTCCAGAATATATTAAATTCATTGAATCATTCCCTGATAACAAAAATACTACACCCGTTGATATTTATGATCATATAGTAAAATCATTAACTTAAAATTGTTTCTTAAGTCCAATATTGTGTTACTGTTTCACTCCACATGCGACAGGAACCCTTTTCTATAGTTATATAGTACATGTAATACAAATTCCTTTAATTTCATTACTCTTCTAATGGGGTACTTATTCTTAATTTGACATTTTGGGATTGTTTATAGTAATACACATTACTTTAATTTCTATTAATCTTCTCATGGGTACTTATTCTTAATTTGCTATTTTGGGATTGTTTATACAAATTCCTATCATGTCTATGAATCTTCACATGGGTACTTATTCTTAAAGATACATTACAGAAGATTAGATAAAGAGCTGGCAGTTCTCACTATAATAGTTAAAAACTAGATAATGTAAAAGAAATTTGCTGAAAATTTCAGTCAAACTGATCCACTCTGAACCAAGATTTTAGCAATTGAATTTTCGGCCTAGCCTTATTGTTCATCATTACTAAAGTCGGTGCGATAAAAGACATAGTCTCGATTAACCATCTCATGATTAAATCATGAATGAAAATCAAACAGCAAATCGGAACTTAATCCTATAAACATCGCAGGCTAGCGATGACATCGAGAGATGATTATGGTCTGGATAAGTTAATTAATGTCTAATTAATAATTTAGATAATATTTCAGGCCTAAAGAAAGACCTGCAATAGGCAGATTTAGCTCTTGCATAATGTATGTTTAATTTGCCAGTTTGGGATTGTTCTAGTAAAAATATTGCTTTTAGTTATATTAATCTTTTCATGGATACTTGTTCTTAATTTGCCATTTTGGAATTGTTTATACAAATTCCTATCAATTCTATTTTTTCATGTGTACTTATTCTTAATTTGTCATTTTTGGATTGTTTATACAAATTCTTATCATTTCTATTAATCTTCTTGAGGGTACTTATTCTTAATTTGTGCCCTTTTCGAATTCTTTACAGATATACAAATAATTTTAATTTCTATTAAAGATGGGTTCCCAGAAAAGTATTTATCGGTGGTTATTTCCAATAAAAGTATAGTAACTTTGGTATATATGGAAAGTAGAGATATCATCTTACTAGAAAAATACTGGATTCCCCGAAAAACACTCATGGAGCGTATACAGGACAAAAATGTAAGGGTTCCCCTAATCAACAGCCTGACAATTAGGAATTTCTGCACGCGCGATGTCAAAGGTCACAAACGAACATTGAGCGCTTGATGTACAAGTTGATAAACTTTATGAAGAGTTAGACGTACAACACTTTCTGAGATAAAAATGACGGAAAAAGACGCAGGTAGTGGATAATCTGAGAATTTAATTAGGATTCGATATTTGTAATAAATAGTAAGCGATTAAAGACAACGTCGTCTTATGTATGCAATGAATTCTCCTCTGACTTCCAAGAGAGGTAAGTCACGTGACGTAAACGTGACCTGGTTTGATCGAATTTTTATAGCAGGACATTCCTTCGCAATTACAATGTTTGAGAAGGATTTGAAGCAAAGTTATGACAAATTAATTAGTTTGAATATGTTTTTAGTCCATATATACCATTAAATCACCCAGTTTGTACGCGGGAACCCATCTTTAATCTTCTTATATTTTTATTTATTTGTTGATATGTGATACTTGCAACTGTTCAATAACAACTTTCTTTTTTGCTAGCTATATAATATATATTTTAGTTCAATATAATTCAATAACTCTTTGCTCATAAATGCCACTCACGTATAAGTATTCTTAATCAGCGAGATATTGCGTAATATATTGAAACAACACGTTTTGGACACTCACATAAATATTCTTAATTAATGGCACTTTTTAAAAAATTTGTCCTAATCAATGGAATTTTTTAAAATTATTCTGATTTTTAATTTAACACATTGTGTTTTTGCTTTATGATCAAACAGAGATGTGTAATGAATACCATACAAACTATTAAGAAATAAAAATGTATAAACCAAGTTATATGCTAAGTTTTTATTTATTTATTTATGAAACAGCACCAGTATATAAAGATATATCTTCTATTAGACCACATGAAACTGGTACATATTCTATTATTACAGTTGATCCACTATATACTTCATATTTATCATTATCTATAATTGTCTCTAGTATCCAGTCAGTTTCTAACAATATACCATTTTCGCCACTAAATAATCGTAATTTCTGAAGAATAAATATAGAAATAAGGTAGGCTACATATTAAATGGAGACAATTTTTATCAAGAGTGATCAGAAGTGCCTTACTACTGTCCATATTACAAACATTTAATATTAAATTTACACAGTTCAGATTTGGAATGCTACATTACGTGATTACTTCAGCTTTGTTTAAAATGGTATGATTTAGATCAAAAACAAAATTGTAAATTACATAGGAATTTTTATATTGATTTGTTTTGGGGAATTTTTATTATAACTATAGATATAGCCAGTGTGAACTCATTATTGATTTTGTGTTCTGCAGTAAGCCAAAAATTAACCTTAAATTAGTAAACAAGTCAACTTCCACTTCATCTTTTGAACTAATTTTTTTTGTCTGCCCCATCACTAATCAAAATAACACATTAGATCAATCCAATTCAATACTTTATTCTGGCTACTTTTTATTGAAATAGATCAATTCTTACATTGAGAGATTAATTTGAATTTGATTAATATCCTACCTTCTCTGTACCTGTATTATTAGTATTAGTAAGACCAGTAGAACTAGCTATCTCATCTATAACTCTGCCTATACTCCATTTCTATAATATAACAAGAGTTTGTCATGCATGTAACAGAACTTTTAATTTTAGAACACTGATATTTCTATTTGGTCAGTTAAAACTACAAGATGGTTGTTCAATACTTAATAAAAAAAAAGTTGGTAATGTTAATGGTACCGTAACTGACCTAGTATTAATTTGAAAAGACGTCCCAGTGAATAACCTTCACATCTTGTTTAAATATCTTTTATTATATTAAATAAATTGATATTCTTACCTTTGAAAAAAATATATTTTTAGTTTTTGTTGGAGATTTTAATGGCAAATATACTTGAAAATATATTTTCTCGGTATCAGGGATTCCTTTATCACCAATAGCATTCATCTTCATCTTCATTAATGCAACCTTGGCAGCTGTTTTAGCAGATTTACTTCCCTTCTTTATTGGTTTCTTAACAACAGGTTGTTTAGAAGCTGAAACATTAAGATATTTTCCTTTTTATAGGACTCATTTTGGTCATTTTAAACCTATGCACCTAAGCCAAAGTTTAAAAGTTTTTTGTTGATAGCAATTGTTTTTAGATAAATTATGATAAGACTAGCTGTGTCTCAATATGCATTTTATCTCTGCGACTTCAAACTTTTCCTGTCATATCTCCAGACATATTTTCTGGGGGCCATGGTGGCTCAGCGAGAAAGGTGCTAGCTCACGAACCAGGTCCTGGTCTCCCCTTGTTAGTGATACATAACAAAGGGCCTAGCAAGGAAAAGCATCTAGTCATTTGGATGAGATAAAAAAAAAAAATAAGGTGCACTAGTGTACTCATCAGTGTGCAAGTAAAAAAAAACAACTTTGGCAGTTCGAATTTAATTAAGATTATACCGGTAGGTGGAATTGCTGCTCTCCAGGCAAAATTTCCACCATAGCACACTGCATAAAATTTAACCCAGTTGGTCCGGAAAGATACATTATAAACCTCATTTTATTTCATTTGTTTTTAGCAACATGAACTGCTGGTTACTTCAGTGAGCTGTTTTTAACTATACAACCAAGATAAATATATCCTATTAATATGATATCCTTAACTGATCATACCTAATATATCTTTAACATGTTCAGCCGTTTTTGATACTTTATTTAATGTTTCTGCTGCTAAAACTTTACACTGATGATCCTGAGCATGCCGATGTCTGAAATAAAAGTTGTAAAAAGTGTTTTATACAGTCTGTGCAAGCTGTTTGTGTAGGCCTATAAACCTATAAGCTTTAAAAAAATATATACCATTGGCCTACTGCAACTAAAATAGGCAGTAACCTTTTTTTATTGGCAGATGGGGGGAGGGGGTCTAGATCTCCCATGCTCAGGTTCAAGTTAGGGGATATTGGTCCCAAAATAGTAGGATATATATACGGCATCTACAGTGTCACATTTTTCCAAATTTTCAGGAATAAGCCCTCTACAGACCGGCTGTTGTGTGCTTTTTGGTGCCTTTGGAGCTCGCAAATTGTCACTACAATAGTTCAATATGGATATCTGAAATTCTGGATCCATTCGTTTTATGTAGATGATTCACCAGATCAGGTTTTGGAGAGAAAATATTTATACTTACTTTAGACAGAAACAATTTTTACATTTTGGACAAGGTATTGGTGTCAGTTCTCTGTTACTACATCCTTGTAAAAAACAGTTGATCCCTTTAACACCATGGTATTCTGTATGTTCTTCTGGTTTTAGGTGCTTAAATATAACCGAGATATCATCAAGCCTGGACATAAGGCACCTGTCACACTACAGACTTCAGGGGGGTGGGATGGCTGAATGGTTAGCATGGCCGCGCTGTATCATAAAGTCTGTCATTGAGTCAACTGGCGTGGTTTCGAATCCCCGGTTGTACGTGACAAGGAGTAGTGTCGCCTGTCCAACCATATGTTAGTCCCAAAATGACCTAGTTTGTGTCGAGAGGACGTTAAACCCCATTTCTCTCTCTCTATATGCACAAATTAGGCCTATCACTAACGTAAATTAATTATAATTATTTGTGTCTGATGTGACAGGTGCCTTAATGTCCAGGCATTTATATGGATCATGGCAAAATTAAATCAATTAACAGATATATTGGACGTGTCTAAATAGAATTTTGATTACAGTAACTTGAGTAAGCCTTTATAAAACAATGATTGATAAACATTCGCTTAACAGAAATATCTAACTGTACCAGTAATTACTTATCAGCCCCCCCCCCCCACTTTGCATTGATATTCTGACATTAATACTTACCCTGGCAGGTCAACTCACCTGTGTACATTGATGATTATCAGTGGCTTTATGAATCTTGCTGCCATAGGCATAAAAGATAAAAAAGATTTTTAAAAATTTAATACATGTACAGTTGTACATGTAGTATACTGTTTGTATGAATGTATTGAGTTGTCTATGTAATATGTATTATTGAATGTATATGTCTAAGTGTTATGTATGCATGCTGTCCTTCAAGGACGTTTTGATGCAATAAACATCTATCTATCTATCTATTCTAGGGCAAGGTAACTTTTTTTTATGTTAATTTAACTAAACATTAAGAAAGCATTGTATCAACATTTAAAAAAATTATTAAAAGAACTTTATTTAATTAGATCTAGCTATATCATATATTATGTATTTTCTTTTGAATAAGCGGGTTTCAGAGCAAAGGGACATAACTCTCTATATCTTACCAAAATGTTTTCCCACATCCATCACAATCAAAGGGTAAGAAATCTGAAATATTAACAGACATTCGTGAATAAGGTAAAACAGAGAAAATCCTTGTATTCTTACTTACAAGTTACACATACTATTTACCGACTTAATAGTGTCTTACCTAATAAATTACAATCTGCCACATTACAGTGTTTTCCCAGTTCAGTAAATTCAGCCATTTTTCTCCCTCCAAGAGTTATCTCCCGTAGAACAAGAGAAAATTTCGTTAGATTTTATCCCAGTCAGCCGTTCTCAACGCAAGTGGTTGTCATGCAATATACATTTTGCAAGATATTGACAGAGAACAAGCTAAAAAGGCAATTTTTCATACAATCATGGGCCATAATCCAGGATGCTTCGGCCTGACAAACATCACTAGTCTGTATCAAATATTAAAAGGAACCAAGATTTTAGGATATTAACACAAAATCAGAAAACAATAATTGTGACCTCACCCAGAGGGTCCACATTCTAAAACGTGATTTTTCGTACAGATTTTTCGTATAGCCAGGGGTCATAATCCATGAAGTGACGTTCCGATTTTCACGAATATCGAAAGGAACCTATAGTTACTTTAGTAACGAAAATATGAGAGCCCTACCTGAGAGCAGGTAGCTAGGGCTCTCATATTTTCGTTACTAAAGTACCGTAACTAAAGGAACCCAGATCTTTGCATAAACGTACATTTTTAAATATCAAAATTATGACCTTTAGATTGTCCACAAGCTAAAATCGTGATTTCGTACAACCAGGGGCCATAATCCACGAAGTTACGGTCCGATACATGCCAATATCGACAGGAACCGAGATCGTTTGGAGATAAACCTAGAATTCAAGTTTCGTCAAAATTGGATAAAAATTGTGACCTGTAGACTATCCACAAACAGGCGGGCTACAGAGGCGACGACAATATACATCCGCATGAAAATGTGGGCGTATAAAAAGTGTCACAAAAAGATTTAGGATTAAAGTGAAATATAAAAGAAAACAATATTTCAATAGAGATTATCCACGTGGTACGTTGGGCAGGCGATCCTATAAAAATGGTTCCACTAGGCTACACTGCGATGTCTCCCGTCTTGCTCCGGCCACAGAGTGGGGCGTTCAAAGGACTTCCTTTGAGCACGTTTTGTCATCATTTGATGACAAAACAAGTTACTGTCCTATAACTTCCTTAATTTCCCATTAAACTGATCCCAAACTGACCCCTTTGAATTAAAGGTCTTGTGTTTATCAATTGTAGTCGTGAATAAGACAATTGCAGCTGGCTATCCTAGTCCTATATAGTGTCGTAGAAACTTGGATCGAAATGAAATGGAATATGAAATGGGGTTTAACGTGTAATATACTACTTTTCTACTACGAACTGATTATATCAAAGGTCTGTCATCCAGAAAGTGACTTAATTCGATCTATTATCATTTATTTAAAATTTCCTGCAAATTGTCTCTTTGACAGCTAAAAGCATTCTTAACCCATTTCCTCCAAATAGGCCTACTTCTTATCCAAATCCAAAACACCTTTTATGCCCCCCCCCCCCCGTCCCTTATCTACGCTACTGCGCTGAGGCACGTGTTTTTAGGTTCACCCAGATCACTTAAAGATACATTCCCGCGTACAAACTGGGTGATTTGATGATATATTTGGCCTAAAAACATAGTCAAACTAATTAATTTATCATAAATTTGCTTCAAATCCTTCTCAAAACATTGTAATTGTCAAGGGAGAGAAAAATGGGGTTTAACGTCCACTCGAAACAAACTAGGTCATTTCGTGCCTAATTATATCACATGGTTTAACTTTTTATTGGAATAATTCGCTTGCGCGTATGGGTCTTTAGCAGTGGGAGGAAACCAAAAGAGGTCATGTTTGTGTCACGTGACTTACGGAGGAGAATTCATTGCCATACACAAGACGATGTTGTCTTTAGTCGCTGACTATTTATTACAAATATCGAATCCTAATTAAATTCTCGGATTATCCACTGCCCGCGCCCTTTTCCGTGATTTTTATCCCAGAAAGTGTTGTACGTATATATAACTCTTCATAAAGTTTATCAACTTGTACATCAAGCGCTCAATCTCCGCGTGCAACTTTTGACGTCACGCGTGCAGATATTCCTAATCGTCGGGCTGTCGATTAGGGGAACTCTGACATTTTTTTCCTGTATACGCTCCATGAGTGTTTTTCAGGGAATCCAGTATTTTTCTAGTAAGATTGGATATCTCTACTATCCATATATATCAAAATTGCCATACTTTTATTGGAAATAACCACCCGATAAATACTTTTCTGGGAACCCATCTTTAATTTCGGCCAAATATTCACCTTGACATTTAAAAGGATTCAGTACGCATTTCCTCAAAATACTTACTTATATCCAATTCAAAAACACCTTTCATTTTCAACGCAGTGGGTTTCGCACCAAAAAAAGTGCCCCCCCCCCACCTTTTCTTGTCTATACCGCTGCTCTGTGACTCTGTGTCTGTAAGTTCACCCCATAACATATAGAAGTCATGAGTTCAATCCCGCATTTACGTAGATAATAAGTAGTAGGGTCGTGTGTCCAATATTAATTGCGGGGTTTCTCAGAATTTTCCTGTTTCCTCGCTGTGCATCATTGTCATAAAATATATCTTCATCTGCGAGGAATATGAGGATCAACTAGCTGACTGACCAATGACCATGTGCGTTTACTTTATATTCTCACCTTAGCGAATCATTGAAATATTATTTATAAATTGTTCAAATAAAATGTGATTTTATTGAAAAGGTATAGCAAAATAATAAAGTAAAATTATAAACACCACTGATAAGATTAATGGGGTTGTTTTTCAGTCATAAAATGAACAATACAACTCCGTGGATCTTTATAGATTATTTTATCACTGGTTTGATAAACTATAAAGTGAACTAAATCACTGTTTATTATATTTTATATGAGATATTTTAAAGCATTATTTAAAGCTATTTTCGTGAGTGTACGTTGTTTCCAAAGGAAATAAAGGAACGATTACTTTATGAATAAGGAATTGTTAAGCTGAGTAAGGAGCAAAACATTTGGATATGCGCATATGACATATCAAACTTTGCTCTTACCCGTGTGTTTCTATTATTCGAAACTCGGGGTCGCGGATTCAGGCTCGTTAACGTGAAAGGTCCCGGGTTCGATAAAGTTCCACGGGATTTTCAGGTATAGGGTTTCTCTTTCCATGGTACATGACGGTACTGAACTGAAATGTAGTTTAACGCCCCACAGTTCTGCCCGGGGCGTCTGTGCAAAGAACAGCATCTATTCCTTAGGATTGGACAAAAAAAACCGAGGCCCCGTTTACACGTTGGCGTATACGCGTAACAGAAATGACAGCACCGTTTACAGGTGGAATTCAAGATATTTTTAATAGGCCGAGCGCCGCTGTCCTGGCAAAATCCCCCCCCCCCCATCACCCACTGATTGCCAGTCTTCATAATTACCCCATATGGAGCAGAAAAGTAATAATATCGTAATCTCTGAAATCTTGCAGAATTACAACTCCAAACATGTTTTTACTTATTACAAAAAAGTTGTTTATTAAAATGAATATTTTGATTCGTATAATATTCATAAATATTTACTTCTAGTCTAGTCGTAGCCTACTATCACAATAATTATCAGATTACTTAATACGGCAATTAATAACATTATCAAAATGTAATCATAAAGTATAACAATATTTATAACAGTTCATAAAATATCACAGTTATAAGAAATCTGTAAAGTTATGCATTACATTACGTGTAGGATAAAGCACGAGACTGGGGTTATGCTGGAGAAAGAAAGACTGAAGAAAATAACCCGAGAAAAAGAAAAACCGAGGCCGACAGGCCGAGGTTTTTCTGTCAAGGGTTTTTTCTGAAGTCTTTCTTCCCCAGCATAACCGAAGTCGAGGTGTTCTAATGTACTTAAAATCGGAGCCATCTGATGACAAAGAGTTGATTATGGGCTTGGCATTTTAATAAATGTTTAATTATCTATAATATGACATGTGAAGCCAGAAAAAAGGCGGTTTTAGCTCTTACAAAATGCACTTTTATCTGTCAACAAGAAGCATAAATACAGAGAGATAATATCCAACCCTAAATAAATTAACACACCATCAATATAATCCAACTGAAACGACACTGATTTTTCACATCAATATCAGGTACTAGTAGGATATCTGAGGGGAAAAAAACTATCACATCAAATAATTCGATATTGATCGGGTTAAATTTAGATTATTTTTTTTTTACGCTAGAAATAAATAATATGCCAGAACCACAAAACTTCACCCGACCTTAAAATTCAAACGACAATATTATTAGACTGTTTCTCTAATTATGGAATATTCAAGGATGATCAATTCCACACTGGTCAAAATATCAATTATTAATGGGAGTATAGGTGCTATATTCCCAGTAAATGCACCAAGAAATGTTTTTTTCATTATCCACTATCAACGTCCATTAGGATCCTGTCGAAACTTTTTTAATCCGGGTCTGATGTAGCGACATTCCTGAAGTTCGTTCCATTCATCATCAGTTATGGGACCCCGAGGAACACGGGCAGGAGGTGCTGTCTCCCGAGGTGTCAGTGTTGATTGCTTGACAGTGTGAATGGGTGGCAACAGAACGGGGGCTAGCCGCAGGTTTTTCTTCCGAATCCAATAATCTCCGGTGTTCTCTGGATCATAAAGTGATAATCTTGACAAACAATCACGATTTTTGTTATTTGATTCCGACTTCTTCCGATGAAGATCTCCGGAAAGTTTCTTTTCTGTTTGTTTTGAGTCAGAAGTTCTGTTTGTTTCATATCTTTTAGAATAATTGTTTATAGTTTTCACATTAATTTTTCCGTTTGAATAATACGTGCCTGGAACGGACCCCCGTAAACTCACTCTGTTTGGTCGACGAACCATTTTGTGACCGAATGTATTCTCCAGGGCTAAAATATTTTCAAGAAACCTCTCCTCAAACGATGTCTTTGGAGATAAGATGCTGACACCTCTGATGCTGTCACTGTAAATACTCTTTTCACTCGATGTCTGTGAACTGCAGGTGCTAAGTTTTTTATGATTCGTGATGACAGGCATCGTCTCCCCGTGATAATTATAGAATTCAATTTCCACTCTTTTTCACCTGTTTTATAATTGATGATATAGAAGCTCAACACGCCATCTTCTTCTGATGAAGTTGTTTGA